GCCTATACTTAGAAGTCAACGATCTTAGAAAAAACTGTGATAGAAGAGTTAATCATGTTGTCCGCATTGGATTCCCCTCTGTCAGTCTTTTATAGGTCACCTGACGCTTTTCTCTCCTTTCTTTCATTTCAACGATTTAGAACTTTTTTTATTTATATGTGTACAACTATGTATTGTTCGGAAAGTCGTTTCGTCATTTCCCAATAGTAGATTTAATTGCATTTTTTCTCAGCCAAGTTATCACTTGAGCCGCATTTTCATATTATATTTTTACAACTAATATAGCAACGCTTGCTTTTGAAAAGATTTGCTCGATTCTGGCGAGTAGCTTCGCAAATTCGCACTAACCCGGGTATATTTTACTTTTTCACTATCAATTAAGTAAAAATGGAATTCAAGCAAGAACAAAATGTTTAAATGTGTAGAAAGAAGGCCAGTGATCACATATTTTGACACTTGACTGGTGCTAAAACTGGTTTACAAAATTTCGCTTCGAGAATTTTGATATTGAAGATGTGCGGCCTCCTAGTGAGCTCAGTTGAAATGAATGAAGAGGCAGTCAGGCGATCAACTGATGTGAACCGACGATCGCTGAGAGATTGCATCTATCGAATTCAACCATTCATAATGGTATACATGTGCACTAGAAACAAATCTTTTTTCATTTTGAGCAAGCAAAGGAAACGAATTTCCGAATAACCTAATATTTATCTTTTGTTATGCAATAGAGAAAAGAAAGTAAAGCATGAAAAGCAATAAGTTGAATATTTTTGATAATAAAAAAGGAAAGAATGTTTTTAGAAATTTACCATAAAAACGTCATCTTCTCTCTCTTGTTATTTGGGTGGACCTGTGAAGTACAAAATAATTCGAATTATAATAAAATTGCTTTCTTGTTTAGAATGAAATCTTCAAAACGCTATAAAATTCATTTTTGTATCTGTTTCTAATGGTTTTCAATTTGCTACGTAAGCAGTACGTGCGTCTATTGTGAGTGTTGATCCTCTTTACTTCTTAAACCACTTGTAAACCGAAATGTCACTTCTTTACATTTTTAATTTAGTAACACAAAATCTCTTCATCTACACTTTACGTTAAGTGTTTTTTGTTTTTATTGTATATGTGCTTTTGCTTTTGCGTTCTTGCATTATATGCAAGTTGTCCGAAAAGTATCTGACCTGAACAAGAAGATTGCAAGATCTTGCTGCGAAAGTTTGAGAATAGTTGTGTGCATGTGTTGAAGTACTCACGGAAATTTGAACTATATTCGCTACGATATTCTTATTTGAGAATAGTTTTAGTGTGAGTACATGGCTTTGTGAATATGGGAAAAGTTAATGGCTGACTGTCATTAGAAATTTGCTTTTGAAAGGCAATATGCCGGCACTTTTCGTAGAGGAGTTCTTCTTCATCATTAACTATGATGAAATTTTGGGGAGCCAACTTGAGATCGTCACCGCATCAGGTTCAGTGCCGAAGAGCTTTTTGATAGGACAAAAATGTCGCCGAATCTCCCCAAATGGCGGTGGACGACTATCGCATTAAGGTCAGTGAGATAGGCGAGGCTGTGAATATTTTTAATAAACGTGTTTATCACATATTAAGTAAAGATTTAGGCCTGAGGCAACAGGTTAGTTGCTACGTCCGTTCATATTGGAGTAAATGTTTAGTGTCACAAGCCGATGGCCACAACCGCAAACTTGCATCAATTAAATCATGACATCCTGCACAATCATCGTATTCTCTATATTCTAAGCCTCAGCGATGAATATGCGCTTAGTAATGAAGCAAGTGTGGCATGAGTAAGTTGTTTTCCAAATGGATCCCCTGCTTACTCACAGCCTGATTGCTTTGATTGCCTGAATTGAATTTCGAACTGTTGTCTGACTATTATTTGTTTGCAAATCCCAAAAGAATGTTGCAGGAAAAAATATTCGGATCAGATGATAAGGTCGTCATTGCAGAAACTGAAGTGTATTTTGCGATATTTTAAAATAACGTGTCGGCAGACTGACACAATCCATCACTCTTCAAGGAACAATAAGAATCAAAATGAAAAGAGAAAATAAGTGTCTTTGTCGTAGGTCGAAAACTTTTCAGACAATCCTCTTACATACAAATGTAGTTATGCACTTGTCTATTCATTTTGCTTGTTTGCGCTAATATATACATACATTTATATCTATATATTTATATGCATCAAATATATATATATATTTATATGCATCAAATATATATATATATAGATATGGATATTTTATGAACATAGACTCTCCGTACTCTTTAACCCACCGGACATACATCGACTTGACGGAAACCAACCAACAAACAAATGCCATGAAGTAAATTATACAAACACTAGAGTATCTGCAAACAAAGGTTAGACTACAGAACAGAAAATGAAAAGAATATATGAAAGTAATGGAGCGCATGATGTATACTTTTTTAAAGTATATACATACGTACGTATACATATTTATATGTAAGCACATATAAAAAGTATGTACAAGTTGTTCATATACTTAGTTATGGTTTTTTATTGCTATCTAGTATATTGCTGACCAATGCATAGCATAAGCCATCCCTAGCGGTATATGTGAAGCGACTTTGAGTGCGAGTTTTAGTGGATTTAACACAAAAGCTTATATATGAAGTTTAGCTGACCTAAGTTACAAAATAAACAGTTTTCCACTCATTCAAACACACACACACACACACACACAATCACATATGTTTACATAGTAAGCGATCATCAAGTTGAAGACTTTTAAGCACAAACACATAAAAAACAGTTTTTGTTTACTTAAATTTGTACATAATATACAAATGTCTGCCTGATGTGTACAGCAACCATATTTTGAATGTTGTTACTTCTAAATAAACCCTTTAAAAAAAAACCCGACCGAAAAATGGTTTTCCTGCACACATCAAATGTAAAATGTTTGATGTGTCTAAGTCGTCGTTAGCATATGTAATCGCTTTTCATGTTATATGTGTGCCTTCACATGTGCTCAGATATAGTATTGCATACTACACCAAGGAAGCAAAAAACCGGCAGATCATAAGCTTGAAAGTTTGCAATAAGACTTGGAAGGGAAAAAAATCATAAATACCTTCCGTAAATATTTGAGAATCGTATGTCAAAATTTTTATAAGAAAATTGATATTTGAGAGGGCATAGCAGAATAAACTATGAGTTGATATTATTTTAAATTAGAGCAAAGGAAAGCAGCAACTGCTTCTTAAGGAAATTTTTTGCAACATTTTATTAAGAATTGTAAACGTCTTTGGCTTTGTGCATTTGCTAATTAGAACATTACCCGGTGTACGCAGTTCAACAGAACTTACGGTATGAGAGAAATCTGCCATAATATTATTAGTTCTTGTATTATTATTAGTCAAACCGGTTCTGATTTAAAGTTTGTCCGAATATATGATTTACATTTCAGAGTTTTGTTATTAAAGACTACATTTTTAAAGGGACTTCATTCATACGGTTTATATAGATTACGATTGCAATAACTGCAGAAGAATTTCGTATTGAAAGACATCAGGAATACGCCTTTCTGTTTCTCACATTAAGGTTTCTCTAACAAACTTTTGTTTGAAATTTAAAACTAAAAAAATCACATTTTGCCAATGCCAGTTCTTAGTTTTTTGATGGACGAATTTCGCTAATAGCATTGAGGTGCGAAGAAAAGGATTTTTGATTACAAAAAAATTTACAAATCCTAGTAGCGTCGAAAACCTTAAAAAATATTTCAAACAAAAACTTTTTTATTCGACCAACAGATATCATGCGCTTAGAATTAGAACAAGGAACTAAGGTTCACTAATTACCAGTGCACATGTGCATATGCATGCCTATGTGTATGCGAAACAAGACTTTGATTAACGCCGATAAAATTGTTAAACATAAAAATTTTATTGTTGCATTAGATCAGGCGTTATAAAATAATAAATGTAATGCGAATTACTGAGCATATGGAAAAAAGTAAATAAAAAACAAAAAAAAAAGAAAACTTTCCCTTGAATTTGCAATCACTTTATTCTGTTTCAATTTTTTAGTTAAATTTTTAGTCGTCTTCTGCTCTCTGTGAGAAATCGGCGAAAAATGCAAAAAATCCTGCATGCATGAACGCAATTAATTTTTCGTCTTCTTTTTATTTTTTTGACTTGTTTAGGGGCAAAGTGTTCTACTGAAGAAAAACAATTCAAAGATATTTGGCTGGAGGAGACTATAATCATAATTCCAATCATTTTATTTTTTTAAACGCCATTCCCATTGAGTATATGTTAGAATGAACCGGCGTTGTTAGGCAAACAATATGTTATCAATTTTCATTTTTCAATTATCAAAAGTATATAATCGAAAACCGTATCAGAAGAGATCAATATTAACATTTTTTTCGAAATTTTCAGCACTGATTTTAACTACATTCAAAACAATTGGAATTGATTAAGAAATTCTTTTTTTTTTTTTTAATTTATATTCATAGCTAGCAATGCTAAGAAAGGGAGAGCCAAAATCATCTTATTATATAATCTAAAAATAATCTTTCAATGTCAAAAAAAAAATATAATATTTTTTGCTTAGCACGAAAAGCATTGATAAAATATTGATTATATTGCTCTTACATACATACGTTAGCTTTGGAAATCCATCGCTATGCGATAGCAGTAAGCCTTCGTTCAATATGAGAGAAGTTTAGCTATATATATATCACTCATACGAAAGGTTGGGCCTTCATTTTTCACTTGATGACTACACCTGCACAGAAAGGCTTAGTGTGTTTGTACAAAATATATAAAGATTAGTAAATGCAAAAATAATTGTTTTCGTCATAACCCGTTATTATTTTTTTTACTAGGACAGCGAATGAGTTTGTATGTTTGCCTTTCCTAATCTATTCATATCGTAATTTACATCACTAATTGTTCTACTAATCGCTTAAATAATTTCAACAAAAACAATGTTCTTTTTATAACTTTTCCTTCAGGCAACATCCAGACCAACAAGACAACAAAAACGGGCATAAGCAAAACGAAATTCTTTGCGTGTTCGAAATTTCAACTAAAAACAAAGCAAAATTTTTTTTCTTTTGGAAAAGAGTGTTCACGAAAGAAGAGAGAAATTCATTAAAACTAAAATTTTTCAAGTGATTGTCAGTAATATTGAAATTAAATATAAAAATTATAGTTAGAAAACAAGAAAGAAAGTATTGTGTACAAACGAAGAATAAACAATTAAGAACCAAAGGATAAAAAGAAAGGATAGCAAAAAAAAAAAAAAAAACAGAAAAAAGCAAAAGAAAAACTTATTCAAAATTAAGAAGTTAACATAATGTTAAGTTCGCTCGATGCATTAGCTAGTAAAATATCACCTGGCTCAGGAAAGAAAACTCCGTCCCAGCAGCAACTACAACAACAATCAGCACAACAGCAACCACATAATAATAACATCAACAATAACTCTATTAGTCTTGGTAACAATTATCAACAGCAGCCACAGCAGCAGGAACAACAGCAACAAGAGCTGCAACAAGAGTTAGATAATCAACCGCAGCAACAACAACAGCAGCAGCAACAATTGCAACAACAAACGCAGCAGCAACAACAACAGCAACAGCAGCCATTATCCACGACGGCTACACGTTTAAACGGCAATCATTATAATGGCCTGGATAGCAATGGAAACAAATTATGTCACATCACTCACAATACCGTACATCCTTATCACAAACAACCGCATTCGCCAGGCAGCCGACAACAGCAGCAGCAGTATCAGCAAAAATTGCCAAACTTTAACTCATCCCAAGCGATGGCAACGGCACTGTCATTATCACCGCAAGAAACCCTGCAACAACAACAATTGCAACAGCAGCAGCACGAACTGTTTCAACAGCAACTTCAACAACAGAATCATCAACTTTTTATTCAGCAACAACCACAACAACAGCATCAATTTCAACAACAACAGCAACAGCCATCACCCAATACACCCGGCTCACATTCCTACGACGAGAATGATTCCCAACATGACTTTGGCAGTTGTCTGAAGGAGAAGTAAGTACATGTTTTTGTGTGTTTGTTCATTTGTTTGTTCTTTATCTTCTTTACTCCTATTATCGCGCTTTCTCGCCTTTCTCTCTCTCTCTCTTTCTCTCTCTCTTTTTCTTTCTATCTATTTCCCTATCCCTTTAATTATTTCTTTCATTATAACTGAATGTGATGGCTGGTAGTTATCGCACATGATTTCCACCTCTTTCTTCTATGCTTTTCCTTCGACTCTTCAACGGCACGTAAAAGTTTTGCTGGTTATTTTTTTATTTTTTCTTCGTAAACTCGTGAACTTGTTTTGTGTGTTTCTGGTTTGTTTTTTTTTTTTTTTCTGGCGGTATCATGTTTTTTAGTTGCTGTGTATTTTGTTTATCCAGTTGTTTTTTGTTGTTGGTCTGATTATTATTATTATTGTTTTTGCTGTTACTTTTGGTTGAACAGTGTTAACAATTTACTAATTTTATTTTATTTTTTAATTTTTTTTTTTTTTTTTTTTTTTATGATAAATGAGTAAAATTTTTATTTATTTAGCGTATGTATATATAAGAGCAAATGCATTAATGGTTTAAAAACTTTTCACATTCAATTGATCAGGAAGCGGTGCGGAATGCATCGACTCTACTAGAAACAAACTAAAACGATATTCTATTCATGGAAAAGTTGGTTCAATCTAAATTATAGTTTTAAATAACGGGAACTTATATAATTTATGGACAAATTGTAAAGAAGAAAACACTTTTTTTTTATCATCAGCTCCATTCACCCTATGTTTGAACATGTAGAAGTGGAGGACAGTCAAAAAAATATCTATATTTTTGATTAAGTTTAGCTTCGATACTGATTAGTCCGTCTGTCCGTTCGAAACTAATTCTGTGATTGGAACCCTCTGAAAATTGACATAGAAAGCATTTAAAAGATTTAAGAACAAAAAGAATTTTCGAGGCTTCAGAGAATAGAAGTACTGATAGACCTTGATGCCTTTCATATTGACAACCCCTAATAACCCTACTTCCATTATTATCAAGTTGAACCTTTTTTTTCCCCTATCTAATATTTTCATTAAAATTTTTCGATCTAAGCAAAAAGGATGTAAGTGTAATGCTAACCGCAGCTTTCTATACATTCAAAATTCACAATTCGGAATAGACTTTAGAAGAGTAAAGGCATGTACATGGCTTCCAATTAAGTTGAAAATCAAGATTCAATTCATTCTTTCAACTTCCATTATGATGATGGGTGGAATAAAGAAGACTAGAAATAGAAAACAAAAGCATTCGCCAAAATGCAAAAATTCATAGCATTAAGTTTTTCACGATAAAGATTAAGTTTATCATCTTATTTTGTGTCTCGTCAAATATTTGGTACTCAAATTTAATTAATTAACTTGAGTATCCAACCAGGAGGTGGGCATAAATATATTTTTATGTTTTTTTTTTTTATTCGTTTTGTGGCACGAAAAAATTTCGCTCTCTTAATGAACACTGAGTGTCTTCGCTTTTCCTCGAAAATAAGTATCAAATTCCAAATGCCCTTGAGATCCAGCGGAATATTAATAGATGAAAAGCCTTAAGAAACTAAACACGTTTAAGACAAAGAGCATTTTGACTTTTTACATATTCTCCAATTTATGTACGTAAAAAAGCAAGAAAACGGTACCAGCTTTGCTTGTACTTCATAGTATACAGTAGACACATTTTGTCGAGCATAACGATCATCATTCATGTCATTGATTGAGTATAAGAATCAATCCTTTTTTCCCTTGGTTTATCGAAAGACACCACTAGCTTTGCTCAGTGTTCGATTCGGTAAAGGCGGTTATTTGCAACCTACCGTGCCAAAGCCCAATTGAGTTAAAGACGAGTATTCGGAAAAACAGTTGTTTACCGGAAGTTTTTCTGGCAGAAAGCGTTGCGCACGCATTTGCCATTCCATCTATACTACTCGTCTTCTCTATGGATCGATGGTCTCCTTCATTTCACACTAATAGCTAAAAATTGTGTGATGTTTCAGTAAAAACTTTTCCTTCTCCAATCTTAGGAGATATTTTTACACTCAATCTTAAGTAATTGCTCTTAATATCAAACAAATATGACAAATATTTTCTCAAAATTTTGAATAAATATTTCTTAAAAATCGTCAACGTATAATATTTTAGCAAAAAAAAGTTGGAGAAGTCTCAACTTTGTGGCAACACGATCATTGCAACAAGACCATGAATTTGCGGATTCCTCCCGCGTATTTTCGGAATTGATTTAAGGCCGAATGTTTGCTTTCCTGATAGCTCAGGGCACACACAGACCCCCGGACAGATGGATGATTAAATTGACCTACACACTTAAGTTGATCAAAAATTGTGCTTGCTGCATGCTTGAATTGATTGCGCTTGCGTTTTGCAACAAGCGTAACTTTCTACATTATCTTTATTACTACTAATAACGTTTCAATAGAGGGACATTCTCGCGATAAGTAAAGGACAACAACATGACGGTTAGTGGACTAGTTGGTCAATTTCATTATTGTGTGTGTAAGCTTTACTCAAGTTTTGAAAATGAACTCTATTCCTGACGATAGACTTCAGTTAATATTGAGGGAGTACAAGTGTATGTTGAACGAATATGTTTTTAACAGTTACATAACTTTTGAAAATTGTAATTATCAGAAAATCGTTTCAAAAAGATTTTTTTTTTTTGTTATTAGCTGTTATGCTCATGTATACTTGCAAACAAATGAGTTAAATAAGTCGTATATGAGATTTCATACATAGCAACAAGAAGTTAACACAAATGCACGCAATGCCTTCAACTATCGACCACCACCTAAAAATTCGAAAAATATTACGGATTTTAGCCATACATAGAGGGCTCTTAACAATATTACATGCAAGGATGTCGTCTAATACGAGGAACATACTTTGCAATCATAGGACATGAAAAATTAAAACTGAAGAAAAGCCTTCCCTCGGAGGAATTCTGTCGAGTTAGTCGAAGTGTGTTAACTTGAGCTTGAGTTTTCGTTAAAGAGTGCCCATAACAAACCCTGCCTTACGTAAAATTACTTTGGTAGAAACTATGACACCAGATCTTGCAGCCCTCTTTCTTCTTATAATAACGTTTATGTGATAGAATACATAAGCGAATGGTTTCATCCCAAGTCACTATCCAATATTCGGTTAGTGTGCCGGTGCCGAGTATTATTCTTGTTCGATGTTTCGGGACAAAATTTCTTTTATAATTGGTGCTTAGACGCCAAATGATCCCAGACATGCTTCGATACCATTTATATTTCCATTAAGATTCGTTGCTCCAATAGGTTGAACGCATCTGTAGACAAACACACACCAAACCGAAATCATTTGAATTCGGTTGGGTGGATGAGTCTCTCTTCAACTCTTCATTGTTCTAAATTTTGCTTATCTCCCCACAAACTTAACTTGTAAGCGTGCTATGTGACGGTAAAGCTTTCAGTACCAAAACAACAAAGACATAAATTGACTGTTAATTAGTTAAGAAAAACAAGTTAAGTGCAATCGCATCGACAATATTTTTGAGAATGTCAACAAAACTTTTCGTAAAGACAATGAACAAATTATTTCCAGCTGTGGTCGAATTTTTTTCCCTACGACTCTTAAAAAAAAATTTATGATATTCGGATGTGGGCAAATCTATTATTATACCCACCCGCACCCCATATCGTTAATAAAATGTCTTGTGCAAATGTTTTTTGTTATACCTAAGGAGTAAAATATCATTTTTTTTTTTTTTTTGGTTTTTATGTGGTTAGCGAGTATTTGAATCAAGACGATCAAAGATCGAGCAAAAGCCAAGGATTCGTTTCTTAATAGTTCTTAAACTTATAAACCTATCGAAAATCTTCTAAGTACTACGCGAGTGCTAGAGAGTGAACCTTAAAGATATTGAAAAATTCGTTTGCTCGCCATTTTGAAAAACCGGCTTTGGAAACTACCGTCTTAAGAGCTTTCAAATAAATATTTTTTGTAGCAATTTTTGACAGACGTGTAAACCGGCCTTTCCATATGCAAATCGTCTATGTTCTTCTCTCTTTTCCTGCATCTCTCGAAGGTGGAATTGTTTGTTTTATATTTTACCTGTTGCGAAATAACAGAGAAATCGGCAACAAAATTTTTAGTTCTATAATCAAAATCGCAATGAATACCAAAGGTTGCACATTCCCACTCTACTTTTAATTTCTTGGCAGGCGCACTCAAAGCTTTTAAGTCGTCACATTCACTCGATGCAACTACACTAAAGTATTTTTGCTCGTGAGTAGTTTTTAACATACATAAATATTTTCTGTTAGTGGATGAGAGAAACCCAGATGTGGCGATTTCAGCGGAGATTTACTTGACGCGGGTAATCTTTCCCAAGCGCTTCAAAAAGAAGAGGAAAAAGAAGAGGAAATTTCAAGGAAAAATTTGCTTTTCCAATAGATAGTAGGTCAAAGCACCTATTAAGGCAGTAGAAAAATTGATTTTCTAAAAAATATAAAGCATAGTTGTCGCCATTAAGGTAGCGAGCGAGTAACAATGGATGGTGCCCGTTCCAAATGGGACGATAACCAATTGTCTCTTCAGCGATAAGTGTTGTAAAGAGAGATGAGGTCATAAAAAAAAGTCATATGCAGACTTCTCGTAATGTGAACATCATTAAATTCTTTGAGCCAATGTTTAATTAATTTAGTCTAGAATGAATGAATCGATATTTTCCAATTTGATGAATCATTTATTAACTAATGCATATCACCATTGAAAATAAAAGAATGAGGGGCCGATTTAAAAGCGGCGAGAGTCATAAGAGTACAATTATTTCACATGATCTGCGTAATTACGTTACGATTTAGTTATGGGATAGACAGAGATTGATGTCTAGGACATAGTAATGCAATAAATACTAAGTGGCTGCTTTGAGGAATACTTTGAGACATAAGAAATTCTTTAGGGAGAAGGTATTTAAATAGACAAATGTACACATATCTACACATAGATAAAC